TATTGGCCTCATTAGTTTCCCAACGTTTGCGATATTCCATAGGAGGCTAATTGGGGAAAGCAGTATTAGTTAGAAAAGGCAATATAATATTCTTCTAGTTCTAATATAACAATGATGAAAGAGCAATATAAGGGGAGAGTTATTTATCGTTTTTTTGAAGACTTAGCAACTAATTTTTGACCAGGAGGCAGTTTACACTGGTGACTCGTTTAGGCCATTTTTTATTGTGTGACTCTAACTTTTGAATGGGAGCATTCCGATATCGCTAGAACGATAACCTTTATAATTTCATACGGAATATTAATATTTTCTTAAATTATGGCCGAATGTAGTGAATGCGGAAAAGAAATTAAAACTCGAAAAGATTGAGAGGCTTATAACTGGCGAGGAATTTGTGCTAGTTGTCAGAAGGAGAGGGAAGAGAACTTGATTGAGGAGGATTAACAGAACTTCTAAATTTGTTTTATTTGCTTTTCCATTTTTTTAGTTACAACAAGTAACGATTTCATGTTAAGACAACAATTATTACAAACTTCTTTTTCTCAATTTTTAAGACAACATAATTGCCAGTCTAATATTATTATTTGGTCGAGAAAAAAAAGAGGGTCCGTGACTTTGGTGAAACGAAAAACATAATCTTTTTTTCAGCATTTTTTCCCGCTAATGCGTTCTAAGAAATTTCTTTGTAATTGACAACAACTAATCATTTAATCATTTTCTTTTCAATCTTTTAATATTTTTTCTCGGGCTTCCTCACTTAATTTTTTTCGTCTTTCTAATTCTTGCTCTAATTCCTCAAAATTATAACTGGTTAAGGTCTTGTCTTCGGGTTCAATTTTTTTTCTTATTTGCTCTAATTCCTCGGTCATTCTCGTTGTCATTTTTTCCAGGTTGAAGTCGGTTTGGTAGTAGAAACCCATAATAGTTAAAAAGGCGTTTAACAATTGGGGATTGGTCTGGTAAGTTTGCAAACTCTTAACTTTTTCTAATTGTTTAAACAAAAAATTAAGTCTTTTTTTTTGCACTTCGTATTCCTCGCTAGTCTTCTTAATTAAGCGGTTGAGTTCAATTATTAACTGGTTAAGGTGCAAATTGTTATCTTTTGCACTTGCACTATTTGCAATATCAGTATTTTGCAAATCACAGTTATCGTTCATAAGTTTTTTTAGATAGTGTAATCAGTAACATTCCGCACCCGATTACCTTTTTCGGATGGTTCGTATTCAATTTCCAAAGCCGTTAAGTTTTGGTAATGGTTAATTAATACTTCTCAATTTTTTTCCACTTTGTTGAGGAAAGCAAAGAAGGCTTTTTCCGAACTTCCCTCGGCTTGGTCTTGGTCAAAAATCAGGTAATAAAAATCATTGTTTTTATCAGTTCTTTCTATTATTTTCAAATTAGTTATTTTGGCTTTAAGCATTTAAGTTATTATTTTTTTGTGCGTTATACGCATACGGGTTATATTGACTTTTCTCCGTGTTTTTGCTTATATTTTGCTTGCCTTTCTTCTTTTGTGATTGGAATACTAATGAAAAGATTAGTCAGAATCCGAGGATTGGCCGAAAAAGTTCAGTTAAAACTAAAAAGAGAGGAGGAGGTAATTT